CCTTAGAAACAATTATCAGCTGAGCTCTAAAGCATGTAAACTCCATCTCCTTTACAAAGCAGGATGAGTACATCACATTGGATTGCGCTGATGGCCCTGTCACATCATGTGACAAGAAGTGGAACTGCCAGCGGCCATGACGGAAGGAGGGCTCCTGAGTCTTTCTGTACAGAATCCTCTCCTCACTTATACCCTTACATTAATACTGTTTATTCATCAAGTATTGTTCAGTTCCCACAACAAAACCCCTGAATCCTAGAAGGCATCAAATCTCTTTTCTATTCTCATCTATCTGATTTCCTTCCCCCCACTCAACTCTGAACACAAACCTACAAAACAAAAACAGAGTTAACATGGACTTGTCAGACTGAATGGAAACAACTGGAATTGGTAATTAATGCTTGAGAATGTCACATTTACATAAATTTGACAAAAACTATTGAATACCAACTCTAACAAGGAAGTGGGTTCAGGATTCGGTGACAGTACAGAAGAGTAAGGTGTGGCCCCACACCCCAAGTGTTCACCATCTCCTGAGAAGAAAAACAACCATCTAATTATAACAGGACAGCTTATATATACTATCACTTACTATCTCCTAGGTTGTTTTGGAGATGTTACCTATTTCCAACTGTTTATTCAATTGGCATCCAGTGAGTCTGGCAAATACTTCTTTTTCATTCATGTATTTTTCATTGTATTTAACAGAGAACAAATGAATAGAAAATCAATTTTTGTTTATCTGATTATACTATTAATGATTTCTAGATCCATTCCTGTCAGCAACATTTTACCAGTTTTTTCTATTGGCCAGGATCTTACTGAGATCATAAAAGGAAGTATATTTTGAGATTTATCTGCTAATTTATCTACTTGGAATAGTGGTCAGTGGTTGCTCTGTGTCTCATGATCCTTCTGAAATAATTTCTTAGCAGAGGTTCAAAAGTTGACACCTGATATTTCTTATCTCCAAAGAGACATTTTCCCATTAAAATTTAAAACATTTTAAAATGTCATTTAATTTAATGTCATTTTTTGCTCTATAAGTTGCTTTTCATTATGGAACTACTATGTCTTTATACTTTATGAACATTTGACAATCAGTGCTTTTTTAAATTTTAACTCTATAGCCGTAGGTGAGATGCAATCTCACAGTCTCTTTGCTTTTTATCTACATTGAGCTTTTATTTCTATAAACCATAAGCCTAGACATCCGAAGCCAATGGTCTCTTGTTCAAGGATAAACTCAGGAAGTAATCTAATTTTAAGTAATGGAAGTCTTCCTCAGAACTGTAGACATTCATAGGCAAAAGTCTATTTTTATTTCTAGGGAAAGATCAGCAAGCAAGTCGTGCCCAGATCTTTGCAGTGGCCTTGCTTTAATATACCAGTTCCATTCTATTCACAGAGCACCTTTGTAAATCTCAAAGTAGAGGGACTTCAGTGAGTGCAACTAGAATGTCCTTGCAAGTAACCAGTTGAAAGTAAATGTAGGACAGGTTTGTATTCAGTTCTCACAATATTAAAAAAAGGGGGATTATGGGTTATATTGCAATGTTCCTAAACTGATTATTCAAAACAGAGGCTCAGCTTGATGCCAGTTCCCTACGTGCATTTCCAGACTAAACAAGTACTTTCTGAGGTTCATCCATCACAGTTTATGATACATTAAGCTAAATCTAATGTTTTTGCAGGCAGGTATTAGGGTATTTTCAGTATTCAGACTAAGAAATTGCATTTGGGGAAAGGGATTTCTCCTTTATTTTTCCATAGAACTTCTTTAGTTCTATTGATTCTTGTTATGTCTATTGGACTCCTGTTATACTCTGGTACTACTTGCAGATTGATTTTAAGCATTTTGAAATCTTAACTAGTAGCAGGAAACGACTTTAAATTAACATTGCATGAACTACTATAAATTGTTCAAAAAGAGAGTTTAATTATAAATGAAGGAACCTGCTTCCCAGTTGATTAACTATATTAAAAACTATATTTGCAAAGCTCTACACTACTGCTAATAAGCTATTTCTTATAGTGGGTCTCAGAGGAATCCTAATACTATAACTTCCTATTTTTATAAATGATATCCTTGACCCATAAAAATTAGGTTGCCCATATTGGACCACATAGAAATAAAACCTAGAATTAGGTCTCAAGTTCTTAATGTACCAGTGCCTACTTTATAGAGCTATGCTTTTAGTTTTCTGAGAAGACAAAAGTAAATTAGAAAATCAAATTATATTGTTTCCTGTTACTATATAGATGGCTATGCACATTCTTTTTGTTATAACATTCCGTTCTGTATGCAGGAGCAAATATTTTGTTATGAGGTAACAAAACAAATGCAAAGAGATGGCTGTCCAGTCAAAGGATCACTTGCCAGACTGACTCTTCCCTCTTTTCCTTTCAAGAATCTGTCATTTAAATGACTAACATGATTGACTTTGGTCAAATTGCAGAATTGTCTGACACTGAGATCAATGAATATTTGTGGTAATGAGTTCATTCCTTAAACCCCATTTGATCACATTGTTTTCTATCAAAAAGTATATTTACATATTAGATTTAATCTTATTTATTAATTGATTATTAGATTTATAATATTTAATTTTTGTGTTTTGCATCCAGAAAGTTATTGCCCATGAATAAAACAGTCCATGGCACATAATACAGATATTGATTTCTTGTTTTATATCAGTGGATTTTGAATTGTTTAGTACTTCTAATTTGACAAGTTTGTAGTTCTCTCAGTGTTAGTGTTACTTTAATATCTCTATTCAGAGAACAGAGCTAGAAAGCAATAGCTGCCTAGTAAATAGATGTTAATTACTGAAACATCAGTTTTTGCTGCGTTTATATATATGGCAACCAAGTTGTAACTTTGAAATAAAATTTATTCTGAATACACCCTCATATAACACTATTAATACATTTATATAGATTTTTTTAATTGCGAAATTATGAACTGTTTAAATATTTAATTTAGGTTTATCATTTCTGTATAGAAGCTGAATGAGGAAAATGCTTACCAAGTGAAAAGAAACTCTTGTTTAAATGTTATAATGCTATCAAAAGTAAATGCTCCTTTATATACTGTTTTTTTACATCTATTAAAAGAGAAGAGTTTTCTATAATCTTATGATTTGCTTGTGCTACAGAACTTCAATTACATTTTAATTATATTTGCACAATATTATATACTGAATATAATATGGACACTGTGTATAGTATGGGCAAATATATGGATATTTTCAACATGTTTCCCTTTCTAGGCACAATGTAGATTGTCTTTCATTGCCTATTAAAATATATAAATATTTGACTTTAGGTCATAATAGAATGTCATAATTTCTTCTAATTCTATCCTAGAGTCATGTACAGATAAAGGTATGGTTAAGAACAAATAAGGTCCATAAATTGCATTTTATTGTTGAAAAATATCAGAAACAACAATATAAGAATGTGATATAAATATTTGTATTTTGGTTTTTTCATTACAACTGAAGCTTTGTGCATTTTATAAACTATTTTGGAGAGTGTTTCTCTGAGATGCAGATGTCTTCAAATTTATAAAACATTTCGTATTTTGCATCAAGTGGTTTTTCTAGGTGTGGGTTTCATAGGTGTCTGCTGGATAAATTGGACTGTAGTCACTGAGTACACAATTTGCAATACACATGGGTCAAGGTTATGTCTATTTTGTTCTTCTCATGTTATAAGAGCCTCATCAAGTGCTTCGTCCTGAACAGGCACATCCTAAATATTTCTTGAATAAAAAGACATAAACATTGCTTTTGATATTCACTTACATTTTTTTCATTAAGATGTAAACAAGAAAGCAGATGAAAATATTTGGGGCTAAGAGTAAAGAAAATTAAAAGAAAACTTTTTTAATTTTAAAATGTGTGCATCTTTCACACATTCTTACATAGTTCAAGAGACTTCTGTGTTATTTCCTGACCTTCATTGGACCAACTGAGGAAAATTAGGTTAAATTCAGGAAGGTTACCCCGCATGCAATTAAAAGGCCTCCAGTATCTGAAGGTCTACTAAATCTATATCATGTTTGCCAATGTCATTATATGTTTAGGTTCAATGGCAAAAGTGATGAACAATATTTTATTCTGATAATTATGTTTACTGCATATGCTACATTTCATCATGTAGTAATGGTAATGCGACCTAAGGAAGCCAACAGATGCACCCCACAACAGCCTCTGGAAGTCATCACTGCTGGCGCAGGGTGTGGGCACAGCCCTGACCTTAGACCCAAAAAGCACTGCTGTTAGGGTACAAACATAGGATGTGTCCCAAGCCAGCTGCCAGGAGGTTCTTTTGGCCATTTGCATATGAGCACCAACAAATAGTTTCAACTGCAGATATCCATGCATGGTGGAACAGAGCAGTCATAGCAAATGTTTATTTTTTTTAATTCAGATTATTTCTATATATATGAAACTGCCTTATGAATGTGAACTTACTCAATTCTTACCAAACTAGTTTTGATCAGCATGTTTATATCCCTTTTGAAGAATTTTCTTTAATATTCATTTGTGAAATGTTTGAATTGTTTGGAAAATTGTGTCATAATTAAGGGATGGCATAGCTAAGAAATTGGGTTTAATGATTTGTATTATTTTTAAGTCTAATACCTAATGACTTCATATACACAGGTTACATCATTTGTTCAAAATTCAACGGCAGCAATGCTTAAATATCACATATAGACTTAAATCATTGTTTAAAACACTGGAAAATATCTAATTTTTGGAAGTCAGTATTTAGAGTCTCTAAGATCTTCAGAATCTCTTAGATCTTCAGGTTATTCCTAAATTATCTAAATGAGGTTTATTGCTATGCACACTACTTGGGAATAACAAAGAAACAACATACATTTGTGTAATTGTGTTTATTTCAGTCAGGAGATGATTACCTAGAGTGAATAAATTCAAAACAATCTGAAAGTAACACTAACTACTTATGGACTTTTTATGTTTTAGCATTAAAAAAAGGACGATTTTGGATCACACCAGATCCTTATCACAAAGATGACAATATCCAGATTGGGCGTGAGGTGAAAATATCTTGCCAAGTAGAAGCTGTTCCTTCTGAGGAGTTAACGTTTAGTTGGTTTAAAAATGGTCGTCCATTAAGAAGTTCTGAGCGGATGGTCATTACACAGACTGATCCGGACGTCTCCCCGGGAACGACAAACTTGGATATCATTGATTTAAAATTCACAGATTTTGGGACATACACATGTGTAGCATCTCTGAAAGGAGGAGGAATATCTGATATCAGTATTGATGTGAATATATCCAGCAGTACAGGTAAGAAGCTTGTTTATGATGCGAGCGTTCACACTGGGAGTAATTTCTCTACATTCAGCAGACAAAATAGTCTCCAGTCAAACTAAGAGTGTTCTTATGTTTAAAGTTTGCTAAAACCAATTTTTTAGCATTCTGAATGCCCAATAAGTTTAATAGTAAGAGACACTGTTACTTCTGTTTTGATTTTTTACCTAAGATTTTGCAGAAATAAAAATAATAGCATTTGCTGTGGTATAGACTTATAGGTCAAATAGTATCATTTATTGTTGTCTTTTAATTGACTAGGAACCCTTTATAGAACCTAAAATCATATTAATAATAAAAAACAAATGTCTAAGGTGTTAGGGCAATAGGCATTTCAAACAAACAGAAACTAGTCGTAAGAAAAAAATCAAGAGATAATTGAAGAGTATTCAAATATAAGATACGTAAGAAGTGGTATTTTCTACCAACAAAAATCAATGGTAAAAACGTTAAAGTTGTAATCACATGTGACTTTTTATAGAACTTGATAAAATCATTTCACAATGAGAATGGTTAAGTATAAAAATGTATTGGAATGAAATTCCTTCTTTAAAGGTTGACACAAAAATATGTTATCAATTTTTTCTTAATCAAATATGTATCTATAGATGAAAAACAATAGAGCTTTGATATGGGAGGGTACATTAGCTTTAATCTGAAGATGTTTCAAATCCTTGTGATTCTATGAACTGCAATCAGTACGCATCTGGAGAACTCCAAGTAGCTTTATTTGTTTTGCCAGCTTGTTACTGGATTGAATTTTAATGTAAAATTTTTATATAATCCCACAGTGAATAATATGTGTATTGAAAACACACAGCACAAATGTAACTGGCAGACGTACTCTATTTTGAGGACATTTAAACAGTTGGCTTTCCTTTCCAGTCAGGCAGCCTGTTGACTCTTGTACATTAATGAATTGAGCTGTGATTTTGTGTCTTCTCATGATTCTAAATTGCGATGTACACTAGAAAGATTTTACTCCTTAAAGGATATAGATAGGTCCCTACTTCAGACTAATCAAACAGGTTACTTTCACCATCCTGCATTATTTTTAATGGACTATCCATTTTTATCAGCTATAATTAATGTAAGGGAAGTTTGGATGATAAAAGGTACTTGTATTTGGCAGATGTCCTTTTCTAGGAAAACAATAACTATTTTTTATCTAACCTTATTTCAAAATGGTTCTAGCATTAGAAGATAGACATGATATTGGATATTTAATGGAAAGCTGTTGATACACTAGGTCAGTCATCATTTGTTTATGTGTTCATTGAATCTACAAATATCCATTGATGGCCTAGGTAATACTCCGCGTATGATATTTCCAGTAAGAGTAAGAACAATATTGAAGATCCAGGATCATTGTTCTTATTTTTGAAGGTTGATTTTCCAGAATTGGTGACACTTACAAAATTATAAGTGTTGCTTTGTTTGATTGTTTTTTGTCTGGCTTTGTTTGCTTGTTTCTTTTTCAAAACCAGTAACACAAACTCATATCCAAAGAATCAGTGCTCCTGTCTAAATACACTTCTCTAGCGGGAGCACAGCTTGCATATCATTAAACTTACACAACCAAGGGGGCACAGAATGGAGAGAAGAAAGGAGCATTATATAATTGTAAAATTAGTTCTAACATTCATTCTTAAATATGCTCGTTATATTGCTTATTTGAAACTATGTATTCTGGATGACAAAGCAGAGAAGACAACCAATGTTGACTCATGAAATCTCCAAAAATCCTGGGAGGAAAATTCCAGAAGCTAACCAGAACAGCAGAAAATACTGAAGAAATGCCTTTTATTAGTAAAAGTGTAGTTGTAATAATTAAAGTTTCTCAAATGTTACCTTTTTCCTTGGTACCAAAGGTAACAATACTAGAGATAAAGGAGGTATTAAGTCCTCTTCCAAAACAGTCTTCTTTGCTGTCTGTCTGCTACCCACCACAGACAAACCCAGATGTCTTTCTCGACCCTACAGTGGACAAAGCCCCAGGCTTCATGGAGCATCTACTCTAGTGAGGAGAAAAAAACCTTGGGCTTTGTCTGTATGGTTCACTGTTGTAATCTGGGACAATACATGGCATTTTGTAGGTGCCCAATAATAATTAATAAAGAAATGAGCTAACTTGTGTGCATAGCTTTCCTTTTGGGTTTTCTTTCCTCCTAGTATCTCTGCAAGATACACATTTGATGTCTCTTTTCTTGCTCTTGTAATTCCCTACTGACTTTAAGAAAAACTATTCGGTAGAGCAATTTATACTGTGATTTAATGTTATTACTCTCATGGATAGGAGTGGCTCCATAATTGGTAGTGTCTGGTGAAAATGAAAAAGTGAGTTTCTTGTTCAGAACTTGATAAGACATTCAGGATGACAACATCAGAGCATTAAACCAAGTGCAGGATGCTTCTAAGCATGGCTTCACACATGGCATGCTTATGGGGCTGGTCTGCTCAGGATTGTATTTTGAGAGAGAGGCCTGGGGAAGATGGTGTTTAACCTAAAGGATGAGTCATTGAAGGCAGTTACTTATTCTCTCTTCTTGCTGAAACTAGCTTTGATGTTCCATTTCGCTTATAGAAGAGTGGAATGCCAGAGTATAGTATAAAGACTTGTAGATCTGAGATTGCAAGATTCAAATGATATCAGTAAGATTATTCTTATTTCCTCTAAGTTCTTAGAAGACTATACTTAAAGCAGTACTTTAATATGAATTATAGAGATTTTCTTGGGGATAGAATTTGAACAGTGAGAATGAACAAGGAATAGCATGGAGGAAAAGAACAGACTATCTTAATTCTATGAAGCATGTAGGATTCAGAGGAAATTCTCACATATTTGGTGAGTGAAGTCTTACTGTTAAGACATAAGTAAATAAGTAGGGACCTCTTAGATTCTTGGATTTGCTAGTTATATTTTTATTATTTTAGGGAATTCAGGATTGACCAAGTGCCAGCAGCTTCCTTATATATTCAAAATTTTCTTTATATTACATGTAGACTATTTTAGGGTGACATTTTGAACTTTTTGAGATTTCAAACTTTGAAATATTTTTTTGAACATTTTGTTTTTCATACAAAATCTTTCATTGAATCCTACTTGTCACTGTGTTCTAAGACGCATATACGAAACTTAATAAGATGAGGATGAGGTACCATAAGTCACTTCCACCTAATACAGTTTGAAATAATATTTTTAAGTGACAGAGCCACAACTCTAGATATGTCTTTGAGGAATTTTTAAGTTGAAATATAAAATAGCCCAAGAACGTAAACCCTAGTTTACAGAATTAGTAATATTTTTTTAAAGACAATGATTTGATTTTAGAAAAACTTTGAAGAGAAAATCTTTGAAGAAAGGCCACATGTATTTTGTAGTTTGCCTCATGCATTTGATTAAATAATAAAAAATGATACATGTGATGATAGATTATATCTTATTTCACATTAGCTCAACATTATAAACTTTTTTCCTCCTGCTTCTGTAAATATTCAAATTGTCTTATTGTAAGCATTAGGTTTTTTTGGTCAATTTAAAATTCATGTTTCTTGTAGGGTCTTTTTTTGGGTTATTGCTTTGTATCTGAGTCTATGTCATACGGTGATAAGCAAATGGGCCTTACTTACCCTTAGGAGCTTACTGTCTAAGTTGTTAAATTACTTAGCAGTGAGATGACTTAGAAATTAGGTATGATATATAGTGGGATGGAAGCTGCAGTTAAAGTTTGATCAGACTTCTGTAGGAATTGTGAATGCTTTTTTCAATGTGGGTGCAGAGAAGCTTCAAAGAAAAATGACATTTTAGTTAAATCTTGATGGAAGTAGTATTGTGATAGTGATAGTGGAGGGAGGGTACATTTAGCAAAATATACAGGATAAAGAAAGTCCCAGGAACATAAACATGAGCATATCTCCCCGGCCAAGGGAAACAAAAGCAAAAATGAACAAGTGGGACTATATCAAGCTGAAAAGCTTCTGTACAGCAAAGGGCACCATTGATAGAACAAAAAGGTACCCTACAGTATGGGAGAATATATTCATAAATGACAGATCTGATAAAGGGTTGATAACCAAAATATATAAAGAGCTCAGACACCTCAACAAACAAAAAGCAAATAATCCAATTAAAAAATAGGCAGAGGAGCTGAACAGACAGTTCTCCAAAGAAGATATTCAGATGGCCAACAAACACATGAAAAGATTTCCACATTGCTAGTCATCAGAGAAATGCAAATTAAAACCACAAAGATATATCACCTCACACCAGTAAGGATGGCCACCATCCAAAAGACAAACAACAACAAATGTTGGCAAGGTTGTGGAGAAAGGGGAACCCTCCTACACTGCTGGTGGGAATGTAAACTAGTTCAACAATTGTGGAAAGCAGTATGGAGGTTCATCAAAAAGCTCAAAATAGACATACCATTTCCCCAGGAATTCCACTTCTATGAATTTACCCTAAGAATGCAGCAGCCCAGTTTGAAAAAGACAGATGCACCCCTATGCGTATCACAGCACTATTTACAATAGCCAAGAAATGGAAGCAATCTAAGTGTCCATCAGTAGATGAATGGATAAAGAAGATGTGGTACATATACATAATAGAATATTATTCAGCCATAAGAAGAAAACAAATCCTACCATTTGCAACAATGTGGATGGAGCTGGAGGATATTATGCTCAGTGAAATAAGCCAGGTGGAGAAAGACAAGTACTAAATGATTTCACTCATATGTGGAGTATAAGAACAAAGAAAAACTGAAGGAACAAAACAGCAGCAGAATCACAGAACCCAAGAATGGACTGACAGTTACCAAAGGGAAAGGGACTGGGGAGGATGAGTGGGAAGGGAGGGATAAGGGCGGGGAAAAAGAAAGAGGGCCTTACGATTAGCATGTATAATGTGGGGGGGTGCATAGGGAGGGATATGCAACACAAAGAAGGCAAGTAGTGATTCTGCAGCATCTTACTAC